TTGACGAGGCATGAACAGAATAGACTCACCGACAGCAGGTTACAACTTCAGTACTCGACCAGAGACAATGGCAACATGAGGGCTACTTATACCAAACACTAAGGGTCACATGACAAGAATCAACCAATGAGAGACAGGACACATGACTAAGACAACGAATGATAACATGACACATGAACCAAAGAATCAATTAGAACATAACACACAGACAAGGGTAGCATGTGTGGGGCAAGGAACACATGACAAACCAGGAAATTAAACTAAGAGCATGAATACAAAGCAAAAGACATGAACACCAAAACAACCCAAAACAAACCCTGACATATCCCCCCCTCTAAGGGCGGCTCCTGACGCCCTAATGTGACATCCACCCCAACCAACACAACAAAATGTCCAGGAGGGTGGAGGACTGGAGGTGGTCCAGGGGGTGGGATGGAGGGCCAGGCCCATGAAGCTGAGCAGGCAGAGTGGGCAGCCATGGCGGAGCAGGCGAGACTGGAACACAGAACATAGAGAGGTTAACAACAGTCTCTACAGCTGCAACAGAGCAGACTGAGAGTTCATGGATGGCCTCCATGGCCGTGACAGGACAGGCAGAGAGCTCATGGAAGGCCTCCTTGGCCGTGACAAGAGAGGCAGAAAGTTCCAAAGCGGAAGCCGCCGCCTCGGGAGGTTCTGGAGTGGATTGGTGGAAATGAGAGGCCCCTGGGACAGACTCATAGACAGGAGAGGCCTCTGAGGCAGATTCATGGACAGAAGAGGCCTCTGGAGCAGACTCGTAGACAGGAGAGGCCTCTGGAGCACAGTGTGTAGCCCACATGCTCAAAATGTTGACCGCCATTACAGAAAGGGCAGCAGAGGGTGGGAGGACCTCTAAGATGGTGGGGCTTGAGAGCGCTGACGTCATCAGGATGCCTGCAGCTCTCACCGACATCAGTGGTAAGTCCATCACACTAGCTATCAGTCTTTTCAGTCTTGGCCCAAGCTCCACATATGTGGGAGCTTGGGTACTATAGCCCCCCTCAAAAAAAATCCTTAGGGGAAAAATGTATTTGAGTGCCACGTCATTAAAATCCACATGGTTGGAAAGTTCAAGAAACTCAATAACATAGTCCTCAATAGCCTGATTACCTTGACGAAGGCGGAGGAGACGAACAACTGCTGGGTGCATTTTAACGGTCGTGTATTCTGTAATGATTTATGTCAGGGTTTGTTTTGGGTTGTTTTGGTGGAAATGAGAGGCCCCTGGGGCAGACTCATAGACAGGAGAGGCCTCTGAGGCAGATTCATGGACAGAAGAGGCCTCTGGAGCAGACTTGTGGACAGGAGAGGCCTCTGGAGCGCAGTGTGCAGCCCACACGCTCAAAATGGCGACCGCCATTACAGAATACTCAACCCGCACTATAAAACCCAGCAGTTTCACGTCTCCTCTGCCTGCGTCAGGGCGGCCGGGCTATAGAGGAGTAGGTGGCTGATTTTTGTGAGGTATGTCACTTTGTGGATTTTAATGACGTGACCCTCAAAGACATTTTTCGTTTTGGTGTCGATGAACCCCTTCATTCAAGTTTGCCAGAGGGAACTATTTGTTGGTCACTGAAAAGACATGAACACCAAAACAAACCCTGACAGTTGTATAGAGGACGATGTATTTTGAGGACGAGTTAGAATTCACTTTGGAAGTTAATTCATCCAGGGTGCACTTTCTGGATATGTGGGTACAGAAACATGAAAGTAATCTCATCATGACTTTATTTACAAAATATACTGACTTACGCCCCCCCCCCCCCCCCCCCAAAAAAAATCATTAGGGTAAACTTTGGTGACAGCTGTGACATGGTGAGGCTCAGGCGTGTCGGCCATCTTGCGATGAGTCTCAGGCGTGGCGGCCATCTTGCGATGAGGCTCAGGCGTGGCGGCCATCTTGGCCGGGGAATCAGGCGTGGTGGCCATCTTGTGATGAGGCAGAATGGCAGCCATTTTCCGAAGAGACTCTTGAGTGGTGGCCATCTTGCAACAAAGCTCTTGAATGGCAGCCATGTTGTAAAGAATCTCTTGAGTGGACAGCATGACTTGAGCAGGCTCTGGAGTAGCAGACATGACGTTAGCAGACTCTGGCTTGGCAGACATGATGTGATCAGGCTTTTACTTAGTAGACATGACATGAGTAAACTTCGACTTAACTGGCATGATGTGAGCAGGTCCTGGAGTAGCAGGCATGATGTTAGCAGGCTTTGGCGTAGCAGACATGACGTTAGCAGGCTTTGGCTTGGCAGGCATGACGTGAGCTGGCTTTGGAGTAACTGGCATGACGTGAACAACACCAGACAAGACGTGAGTATGCTCTGGTGCAGAGGGTACAGCACAGTTGCGGGGCTCATCATCCGCAATTCCCACAGTAAGAGGTGACCCAGCCAACAACAGAACAAAGTCAATATATCTTTCCAGTGACCAACAAATAGTTCCCCCTGGCAAACTTGAACAAAGGGGTTCATCGACACCAAAACGAAAAATGTCTTTGAGGGTCACGTCATTAAAATACACAAAGTGACATACCTCACAAAAATCGGCCACATACTCCTCTATAGCCCGGCCGCCCTGACGCAGGCAGAGGAAACCGGAAACTGCTGGGTTCATAGTGCTGGTCGAGTATTCTGTAGTGAATCAGTCCACTGAAGTCGAGCATAGTGAAGAACCCATGTGCAGTTTATTTACAGGTGATCCAAACATCCAAACGATAAATGAAGACTAGAGACACAGACTTGACTTGACAAGGCATGAACAGACTTGACGAGGCATGAACAGACTAGACTCACTGACAGCGGATTACAACTTCAATACTCGACCAGAGACAATGGCAACATGAGGGCTACTTATACCAAACACTAAGGGTCACATGACAAGAATCAACCAATGAGAGACAGGACACATGACTAAGACAACGAATGATAACATGACACATGAACCAAAGAACCAATTAGAACATAACACACAGACAAGGGTAGCACATGACATGATCACATGTGGGGCAAGGAACACATGACAAACCAGGAAATTAAACTACGAGCATGAATACAAAGCAAAAGACATGAACACCAAAACAAACCAAAACAAACCCTGACAACCTGTGAGGTGGATGGATTATCTCGGCAAAGGAGAAGTGCTCACTGACACAGATTTAGACAGATTTGTGAACAATATTTGAGAGAAATAGGCCTTTTGTGCACATAGAAAAAGTCTTAGATCTTTGAGTTCAGCTCATGAAAAATTGGGGCAAAAACAAAAGTGTTGCTTTTAGAATTTTGTTCAGTGTAGTTCTGTCATGAAACTCTAGATGGCGCATTCTGACGGGTGTTAACACAACTGATGATATTCAGAGAGTTAAACGACTTAGCACAAGCTGATTGGTTCATGCTGCATATGCAGCCAATGAGCTTACTGCCTTGCATTTATATGGCTGGCTAGCATTCACTAGAGATTCCTGCAGCGCGCTTTCAGAGTTTCTCTGAAACCCTACACCTTCCCCAGCTCCACCTGTATAGATCTGCTACGGGTTATTTTAATATGCTATTTGTGCAGCAGCAGTTTATCTTAAATACTCATGTCACTGTATCGCCATATGCACTGGCAGTAGCAAGTTCCTGTACTTGCTTGCAGCAGCAGCGATCCAAAGAACACAAGGACAGCAGAACTTTTCTGAGGTTATCAGCACTTTAACCCTACTTTACAACTCTGTCCCACAAAGTTTACCGTGACCCTCGGGACAATCCCAAAGTCTCCTATTAATGTTCACTTTAATAAGTAAATTCTTGGATGAGGTCTCACAATGGCTAAGTAAATCCTGTTTGCATCTGTATGTCAAGAAAACTGTAAGCATGCTTTTTTTTCACAGAAAGGGTAAAGTTTCATGCTAAAGCAGAAGTACGTGTCCAAGGACAGAAATTAATTTCAATATTTAGGAATAACAATTGATTCTCAGCTTTCTTTTTAAGGTGAAGAAAGTGGTTAATAGAATGAAATTCAATTTAGCCAATTTTAGGTTCATTAGAAACAGCTTAACCTAAGAGGCTGTGATGTTATTCATGAAAGCTATGATTCTGCCGCATATACATATTGTATGTCTACTTGTACACGAACATGCAAGTCTGATCTTGAGACTGTTGAAACTATGTATTTATAAGCAAGCTCTTATGAATTAGATAAAAAGCTAAATAGTTTCCATTATTGTGGTATTTTAGTTATGTATTATTTTTTCAAGCTGGTAACACATGATACAATTTGCTGATTTATTGTTGTTGTTGTTAAGATTCTGATTTTGCTTCATATTAAGGAGTGCCTAAATCAGATATGAGGAAGGAACACAAGAGCAAAAGAAAAAGTACTTTTAGTCAGTTATCATTTGCCTTTAAAAGAACTCATGACTGGAATAGACCTCCAATAGAATTAAAACGTATAAAAAGTCATAGTGGTTACAAACAAACAAACAGATAAATAAATGTTCACAATTTTAATTTGACATTATTTATTTATTTATTTATTTATTTATTTATTTATTTATCTGTTTGTTTGTTTGCTTGCTTGCTTGTTTGTAACGACTATGACTTTTTATACGTTTTAATTCTAATTCTATACATAATAATTTAAATGAATGAGTAAATTGTCAAGGCACAGCATCACTTTCTGACTGGTCTCTTCACAGCCAAATCTGCCTGCAAGACAACCATACAGAAAATCAAAAAAATCTGCTTATGAACTTCTGACCGGCAGATATTTGAACCAAGATTCAGAAGAGGTCAAGTAAAAGCTGTAGGATGAGTTCAAAAAACAGTTTTCAATTAAATTGCTGGAGAGAAACATTTAGTTTAGTTTCAAGGCCTAAAGGTTGAGAGAGTCCGCCTGCATGTTTCATGATGAATCACAACAGCACAGAGTTCAAAGAAACCATTCGTTCGCCTCGATCCTATCAAACTCAGTGTGAACCTGTTGTGATTGTGCAGACGTACCTCTATGATGACATCAGGAGCGCTGATGATGGGAATGGGGTCGTCTTTGCTCTCTGTGTCATAAGAGAGCGAGCCTCCGTACGCCAAGAGCTGCAAACGCAAACACACACAAACAGCAGCGAGGGTCAGCAACCGTGTCTGCTTTCAAGAAGAGGTCGAAAACAAGTTCAACACGCAGTGATTATTGATGAAGCCACACACACACACCTCTGCCTCTCTGAATAAAGCCGAGTGTTATTGAGTAATGTTACGCTGCAGGGCAAATCAGTGCGGTTAAATCAGACCAGCACACTGGGGGAGGAACTCCAGCTCCAGCGGGGAGAGCTACACTTCACCGTGTGCTTTCTGCATCCAGTGCTGGCTTTCTACACACACACGCATGCATACTCCTACACTTCACATCTCGCAAGATTGGCTTGGGTTTTACTGCAGCGGCCTTTGAGTGCAGCATTCACATCCAAACCAAACATTGTCCCACTTTCATATGTTCTGACTGCTCATGTCTAAAGGAAAGAGGAGAGAAATTTTTCTCCTGACTATCACGTGACAAACTATTGATTTTTCAACTGTCCGGCAAGACTGAAATGACATTTGAGCGAATCGGTCAAGAAATGCCACATTTCATGCCAAAATCAATAGAAACAATATGAAATTATGTTTGGCTTGCACAAAATGAAGCCTTGTTTAAAGGGTTAGTTCACCCACAAATGAAAATTAGGCTGTGTTTTACTCACTCCCGAAGCATCCTAGGTGTGTATGACTTTCTTCTTTCAGACGAATCCAGTAACGTAATGATCACTTTAATCTAGCTTGTGCTCACTGTTGTACATGGAAGCAGCGGATGACGTAGGACGTCGGCGTTGCGCATGCGCTGCTAAGAAGTGACGAACGTGGAAGCACAGCAGAGAGATCAAAACAAACCAATGGTCAAGAATTAGAAGTACAAAACGAGGATTTGTAAAGAAGAATGTCAGAGGATTTCGATATAAGCCAAGAGGAGACTGGTTTTCCTTTGCTAAAGTAGGAAACTTTGCTTCCTTTGATCCTGTAAACAAACGTTGGTTTTCACCATGGAAGCAGCGGATGACGTAGGACGTCGGCGTTGCGCATGCGCTGCTAAGAAGTGACGAACGTGGAAGCACAGCAGAGAGATCAAAACAAACCAATGGTCAAGAATTAGAAGTACAAAACAAGGATTTGTAAAGAAGAATGTCAGAGGATTTCGATATAA